TCATTCAACTACCAAAGTGTTTACATTCTATTCCCCAATTGATTTTTAATAAAAATGATTACAATTAAAACGGCTATTACGTTATAAGCTACTTGAATTAGCAATTCAGGTCTCACAAAAAAATCATTTATTGCAAGCACAATTAAGAGATCAATAATAAAAGAAAGGTTTTAACAACAAGAAAATAATTCGTGTATTTGAAGTAAGTGTGATAGTGTTTGTTTTATGAAACTAGCGCCGCCGACGGCCGCAAGCGGCCGTCTTCGTTGCTTCTGTTCCTTTCTCAATTTCCATTTTATTCATTTCATTTTAAAAAATGATTTATTTTCATCTTGTGTTTTTTATTTCATATCGATTCAAAATGTAAAAAAAATTATGAATGTGAAATAAGAGAGATTGATTTACGCTATAATCTCTCTTGCACTAATCATTTTCTGCTTTTTTTATTTATTTTAAATTATAGTCTGTTGATTAAATACTTTATTAATGGATTTTATTTAAGGGTTCAATTTTATAAACTTTTTGGATAAATAATTTAAATTTCTGATAAATTGTAAAGTATAATGTAAATATAGAGAAAAGAAACTTTTCAGTCTCATAAAGTAGTCACAGAAATGGTTAATTTAAAAAATTACATTCTGTAAATCATAAATTCAAAAAAAATTTCTTTAAAAACAATATTTTTCACTACCTGTAGTTATAATTATGTTTATTTTTCTTTTTTATAAATTATTTATTCATAGCAAATGAAAATAATATATTATAATATTTAAGTGTTATGAAGTTAAATTACATATTTTAAAATTATCGTGCGCTAATTATTTCGACCAATCAAGTGGCTTTATCTGAATAAGTTGTTCTTTTTTTCTCTCCACGTAACACCTGTTCTAATCTAAAACCATCATAAAAAACTTAAAGCACATCTGGAATTAATTTCCACTTTGTGTAATAGTGTTGTAGTGATTAATTTTTTTTGTATAATACAGTTGAACTTTTTTAATGTTTGTGTACTTTGACAAATAAGATTTATATATAATTTAAATATTAGCGCTCATTTTTGCCGAAATCAACTGCAGCTCCACCTGTACTTATAATCTTGAAATATGTTGTCCCCTTCTATTTTTCTTATTATATTTCTTATTTCGATAGTTTTTAGAGTTCGATTAAGTTTCTATTCGACCTTTTATCGGAATTTTTTTTAAGAAAGGAAAAGGAAAAATCTTGATGATTTTTAAAATTGCATTCTTTCATTCAAAAATTTCTTTAAATACTATATTTTTTACTACATTAGATTCCCTTTGATCTCCTATATATATTTTAAGCGAATCCCAAGAACGAACACGTGATAATGCAACATAAAGTTGACCATGATTAAAAACGTCTCGTCTGAGATGTATTCCTATTTTATCAAATGTTTGTCCTTGAGATTTGTTGATAGTCATTGCAAACGCTATTTTAATTGGAAATTGTCTACGTGCAAATTGAAAAGGATATTGCTCATCACTGTACAGAGTTATTCTGTTGATGAACACAATTTGACCACATTTGTCTCCAGTTAAAATCTTACATTTCAATAAATGATTTTTTAATTCTAAAACTTGCAGTCGTATTCCATTGCACAGCCCTTCATTTATAGAAAGATTTCTTATTAACATGACCACTGTATTAACTCTTAATCTTAATTCATGTGGTGGTAAATTTGGAGGATTCAACGTCTCTAGATATTCTGGTAAAAGTGCTTCACCCATCTCACAGTTATCACAATTTTTTACAGTATTAATACTTGTATAAATTTTTTCAGTTGAGACTTCTAATAATTCAACAACTGTTCTATTAATATCATCCACGTCAACATTTCGAGCTGATAATATTGCCATTGTAGTTAATTTATTAAATTCTTTGTTTCTAATAACATTTTCATAGATATCTTTAGCAATATCTGTCCCTGAAGGAGCGATACAATGTACTGGTAATTGTAAATCATTTCCATTGTGATTAGCTGTTCCATTTCCAACTTGTAATAAAAATAATGAAAATTCTTTTTCATGAGGTAATGCGCGCATATTTTCTGTAAGGGAAAATTGGAAAAAAGCTGACCACACATTGCTATACTTAATACAGAGATTTACTAATTCACTGCGAACAGCATTTCGTTTAACTGGAAGCAGTTGTCGAAAATCGCCTCCAAGTATCATCATTTTGCCTCCAAATGGTTCATCAATGTTCATTATGTCTCGCAAAGTGCGATCTACTAATTGTAATGCATGCCTTGGTAATGTGTTTATATGAATATAAGCTTTTTTTGAGCTATGTCTTCAGACATCGTTCTTAAATAGTCTTGAGATAATGCATTTTTAAATTCTTCCCACAATTCTTCTGGATGTATGGGTTGACAGTGAATCAAAATTCTTACGAATAACTGTCTTAATTGCCTTGGCATCATCCAAACTTCTGCTTCATGCATGGCATTTTTCCACTCATCATCATCTTCAATTAGTCCTAACGCTAAACACGTAGAAACAAACGTATCATGTATTATACCGTCAACAGTTCTTACTTTTTCAAAACTTGTAGCTCCTTTCTGTGTTATTAATAATAATCTCAAGTGGAATAATTCGATTTGTGATGGACTTACAGAATACATTCGTCCTAAAGTATTGAAATGTTGTTTTCGTTTTTTCCAAGTAAAGGAAGTAGCTGAACCTTTTTTTTTTGTCAAATGCATAATGCGATGGTATTTCTGAATATGTATAATTTTTAGCAATTGAATCATGTTCATTTAATGCAAAATATTCAGTAAGTTCTGTGGATCTGTTTAAAGCAGATCTGACTGAATTTTCATCATCCATATTGTCTACTATTACCGTTTGTTGATTAGGCATGTGAATAGGAAGTCGATAAATTGAATGACTTTTACCTTGCAAATTATGGCTGAATATACGACTACATGCTTCTGGTGGACTAACGTAGCGACTTTCAACATGATTTTTAATTTCATCGTGTTCAAGAATACCGACTTCTTGATTTTCATTGTTTTGTGGTTCTTGAATCACAACAGAAGCAGCATCATGTCCTTTGTAAATGTATTTATATAGGTATTTTACCGCTTTAATGCTAGTAGCAACTTCAACGTTAATATGACAATTTAATCGTAACAAAAGCTCTTTATTATGGGGTACAACATGTCGATTATCATATTGAAAGCCATCACGACGGACATTTGTTTCTGTATATCGACGTTTATAATGGGGATAACCATCTTCATCCATCTTCGTTTCATCGTTAAATTCTTTTGGGTAATTTTTTGAACATTTTCCGTCCTTATCCAAGCACCAATCTCCACAAGAGCCATGAATCATATTAGCATCAATGATATCATGCAACCGTTGATTTTCTGTTCGAGGAGGAATTTCAGCTGAAATTCAGTTGTTATTTTTGAATTTGGTTTTAAATTAAGCAGTAAGTGAACATGTGGTAGTCCACGTTTTTGGTATTCTACTACATAGACGTAAGCTTGTACTTCGCCAAATATTTTTTCTTTAACGATTATATTAATGAGCTCTTCTTTCTTTAATTCAAAAACACGAGCCACTAAATCGGGCCTATCAGAAGCAGTTTGTCCATTTAAAAGATTTTCTGTAATTTCTCTCCATTTTGGATTGCAAGTCATAGTAATAAATAATTCTGGTCTACCAAATTTTCTTACTATGGCCATTGTATCTTGATAATTTTGTTGCATATTTCGTGGTGAACCAGAATGAGTAGACGGAAGAATAACTACTTTTCCAACACGATTGTTTTCATTTTCTGCAGTTTTTTCTAAATGTTGCAAGAGTTTTCATAAGTGTCGGCTCTTAATTGTTTTTGATTTCCTCTTAAATAATTTAATTTGTCTTTTTCAACTTTAACGTAATTGTCAACGGTCCATTGTTGAAACAAACGTCGTCCCGTTAAAATATAATTTGGCTCATCTCGAATAGCCATGCGATATTTAATATAAGCGTTTCTTGTTACTCTACGTCTACTACCAACCATTTCCATACCGTCATACCAACCTCTACTTTCATATGGATAAAATAATGGATAAGTCCATGGTTCAACATTAGCATCCATTGAGCTAACGTATTGTAATTCTTTCGTAATTTGGTTGCGTATTGTGACATATGATTCCGGAATTTCTTCATCTGCAGTGGTTGAAAAAATAGCAGCAACTTCATTTACTCTTTGAAAATTGTAACGTCTTCTATCTTGTCCCTTCTTTAATGTGAACAATAATTGTAATTCAGGTTCTGTTCCATTTTCTTCTGTCATTTTAACCAATTCATCTTTCATCATTTTATATGATTTTGCGAAAGCGTTATGTTCTCTCATTGCTTTATCAATAGTATTTGAAACTTCTGATTTAATGTGGAATTCATATCAATTCTGTAGTCTGTTGCTTCATTGCTATCAATAATAAAAAGTTGACCGAAGCTTGGCAATTCATTATTAGCTGGATATAGTGATGTATTAATTTGATAATAAATTTGTCCTTGTATTTTAAAGCAGAAAGGTCCGGGTCGTCTGTTATTAAATTGCACTAAATTAGCATTAAAAGAAGCAAACGAAAAAGAATTATTGTATTTGCGTATATTATTATAAAAGTGATTTGATTCCGGATGAGTACCTTCGAAAAATTCTTTAAGAATTTGCGGTGGTTCTGGTAATTCATACAAATATACTTTGCCGTGGCTACAGCAATCATTAAATGAGTTTCCTTTGTTACTTACTTTTTCAGCGCAAAAATGTTTAGCTTTACAATGGACACATAAAACATTCATACTACCAAGGTAATGTTCAGAAATGTTATTCAAGTTTATTTCATGTACATTGACGGGACAATCGTTTGCTTCCATCACATGTTCTTTATTTTTAGGTTCTTTCCTATTACGTAAACCTGTCACATTTATGTTTGAAGAATTGTTTGGTAAAGACTGACTTGTTTGTGAATATGCGTACACTTAATGTAAATTTACGGGACGATCGTTTGCTTCAATCACATGTTCTTTATTTTTAGGTACTTTTCTCTTACGTGAACCTGTCACATTTATGTTTGAAGAATTGTTTGGTAAAGACGGACTTGCTTGTGAATATGCGTTCACTTCGTGTATATCTAAGGAACGATCGTTTGATTCATTCACACGTTTTACATTTTTAGTTACCATTCTCTTACGTGAACCTGGTACATTTATGTTTGGAGAATTGTTTGGTAAAGACTGAATTGTTTGTGAATATGCGTTCACTTCATGTAAATTTACGGGATGATCGTTTGCTTCAATCACATGTTCTTTATTTTTAGGTACTTTTCTCTTAAGTGAACCTGGCACATTTATGCTTGAAGAATTGTTTGGTAAAGACGGACTTGCTTGTGAATATGCGTTCACTTCATGTATATCTAAGGAACGATCGTTTGATTCATTCACACGTTTTACATTTTTAGTTACCATTCTTTTACGTAAACCTGGTACATTTATGTTTGGAGAATTGTTTGGTAAAGACTGACTTGTTTGTGAATATGCGTTCACTTCATGTAAATTTACGGGACAATCGTTTGCTTCCATCACATGTTCTTTATTTTTAGGTTCTTTCCTATTACGTAAACCTGTGACATTTATGTTTGAAGAATTGTTTGGTAAAGACTTTTCGTTTGCTTCAATAACATGTTCTTTATTTTTAGGTACTTTTCTGTTACGGGAACCTGGCACATTTATGTTCGAAAAATTTTTTGGTAAAGACTGAGTTGTTTGTGAATTTGCGTTAATTTCATGCACATTTACAGGACGATCGTTTGCTCTAATCACATGTTCTAAATTTTTAGGTATTTTTTTCTTTCGTGAACCTGTTACATTAGAATTTGAAGAATTGTTTGGTAAAAATTGATTGTGAGTTGTTTGTGAATTTATGTTCACTTCATGTACATTCACGGGACGATCATTTGCTTCAATTACATGTTCAATAACTGGAGGTTTTTTTCGTTTTCGAGAACGTGAGACATTCATATTTAATGAATTGTTTGTAAAAGATTGTGATGATTGTGAATCTGTATAAACTTCACATATATCTACAGGATAATCGTTTGCTATCATCTTGTGTTCAATATTTGGTGGTTCTTTTCTCTTACGTGAACATGGCACATTCATGTATAATTTACTGTTTGAAAATACTTTAGATGTTTGTGAATTTGTATTTAATTCGTGTACATTTGATGGACCATCTTGTACTTCAATCACATATTCTGTACTTGGAGGTTCTTTTTTCTTACTTGAAATTGGCACATTTATGTTTAAAGAGATGTTTGGTACAGGTTGCATTGTTTGAGATTTTTTATTCACTTTATTTGAATTTACGGGAATTTACCTATAGGCCACTTCACTCGCGTCACTTATTTCCGACATTGTAAAAAAATAGAGCAAAACTCGCGTGATACACAATTAATTATTCACGGCGGCCACCTCCGAACTGGCCTGCGGGGACCTGCGTCTATACCGCGAAGGTAAGGGTGACGTGACGTACGGCTCCAAGACAGATGCTGTTATCAATGTTACTTGACACTCCATACATGGTTGCCATAAAGCCAGCTATGCCAGTTACAACCAATAGAAATAATGCTACATGAATTTTATTTTACAGGGATGTTTAAATATTCCATCATTTGTAGGGTAATTTTAATGTTAAAATAATACTAAATTAATTAAAATGTACAACCCCTGTCGAGTTCAAGAGCCCTAAGTTTATCGGGGACGACAAACGGAATTTCCATGGTGGTTTGTAAGGTCAAAAACTTTTACATTATTTTTATTTAATTATGAAATATTTTCTCAATAATTTAATTGCAATTTCTTTTGGACTCGCTTTAATTTTTCCTAAGCAAGTCCAAGGTACGCGCAATTACCAGGAATTCCATGCGTCAGCATCCCTGGTATATTCACCTATAGCTTCGCATGAGACAATTGCTAAACGCTCGAAATTAAAATTGTATTTCGAAATTAAAATTCTTCTATTTTAGCTCTTGAAGCCGACACGGGTTATTAACCTTTCCCTAAATTATAATTAATTATTTTTATACTTATGGGATAATTAATGGTCTATAATATTGAGAAGGAGCATAGATACGAGCTCCTCGTATATTGTAGTACCAACGGAACCTTGCGGCGAGCCTCCTGGCGTTTTTCGTGAATAACTCAGGAACTACTCAAAGTAAAATTATAAAAATATGATATTCGGACTCGGAACGACGCCGCAAGCTTTAAAAACCTTGGTGCAAAACTTCCCAATCCATAAACAACGAAGTTACCAATTGGGAAGGTTGCGAGTAGAAAAACGAAGCTTGCGAGGTCTTTCCGAGCTCAGGTAATCTTTTCTCAAAGTTCCCAGATTGTAAACAACGTAACTAGAGAACGGAATTTTTGGGAAAAATGCGGTTTTGAAATTATTATTCTATTTAATTTTCTAAATCCAATAAACCTTCCGCAACGTTCCCGAATGATAAACACCGATGTTAATCCAGATAACCTGTAAAGCATCGCGGACCATTGGTTATCAATGCGCGTACCTATGAGAATGTTATGGGATGGATATTTACGCATATATCCTTATGTTCATACCTATATATTATTATTATCAATATTATTGTGTAAGATATATAATTAGTTGGATCAAATTAAACCAACCGCAAAATTTGGAATTAATTGAACCAAATTTAGGAAATTATAATTTTTGTCATCGACATTAAAATAATATTTCCGCGCTGACTAGTGGGGATCATCAATGAACGCGTTCAGTGGAAGCTCCCCTCGCATCCCTCGGCAAAGCGCGAGAGAGAAAGAAGATACAATGTACCAGCAAATCTTTCTCTCTCAGATACATTAGAGCGTGCGTCTCTTTCCACCTAGCAGCCGTCCTAAGAGAAAAAGGAGATACATTGTACCAGCGAACCTTTCTCTCTTAGACTAACGTTTCTTTCAGCTGTATCGCTTCTCTCTTACTCCACAGACCGTTGAATGCATGGCAGTCGTTGGTCTCACATACTCATTTGGACTATACGCTACAGGCACCTAAACATATGAGTTCGGGTTATAGGCGCTTACATGGTACGCTATATTCCACAGTACCATTACACTCTTATTCTCCTCACCTATTCTTTCTCCTTACCTCTCTTCTTCTGTCCAAGCCTACAAGCTATGCCATACAGTGCTGTCAGATTAAAAGCACGTGTATTTATTTTGAATTATGCTATTGCTCAATTCCAGATCAAAATTGGGTATGAAATTAAAATATTTCACCCAATACTGGAATTCAAATCAAATTAAAAGATGTATTTTAAAAATTAAATATTTTTAAAGATACATATACAGTGAATGTACCAAGGATTTTCCTATAAGGAAAATTCCTATTTTCCAATTAATAATCCTTTAAGGATAACATATTAATTTTATTAATTATTGTTATTGGAAATAATTTTAATTCCAATTCTCGAAATTATTTGCTAACTTCCGTCAAATGTGAAGTCAGCTAAAAATCGCATGGCAACAGGCCCCTGTGTTCCACCTCTATCTTTACCAATTTTCCTTATTTAGCAAAAACCGGCTTAGGAACAAAACTCAATACCTTTGTTACCATTTCCACTTGTTTTCCAAAATTACGATTCAGCATTAATTTCCCACTTTACATCCCTAAGCGTACCTACGAGGCGTCTCTGGCCCATAATTCAATGTTCAGTACGGTCTTGGTGAAAGACGGAATAACACCCGTACCTCCACCAATTAAAAAGCCAACGCGCTCCCGTCCGGTACCAAGGACCCGCTTAATTGTATGCTTATACGATTACTGCGGCCGGACGTAAAATAAAATCCAACTTACTCCGAAGTCCACGGAGGCCGGTTGAAATCAATTCGGGGAGAAGTTTTAAGGGAACGTCGCTTTCCTTATCTTTGTCGCGAGACCAGCCGGGTTCGTGTAGGACCCGCGCCTGCCCTTGCAATTGACGGGTCAACAAATTAGGGTAAGAGGGTGGAGTTGTCTGTCCCTGTCTAGTTAACGCGAAAACGACATACGGCAAACCGCTAATGCGCCACCTGAGTGAGTGTGAGAGGACACATAATTATAATAGTTTTTTTTTATTAAATGTTTTGCCCGTCGGAAAGTGTTTGAAAGAGGCGAGAAGGTGTTCAGCTCTCGACTATCCGACGGTAGAATAAGGAACGCGGAACGGTAAGTACTCAACGTATCGTTCCGAACTAAACACAATTTTTGTTAAAATTAAACTATTTCTTTCAATGTTTTGACAATCTCTTGATAAATAAATTTGTGATTCTTTCCTAATATATTTGACATCAAAATGCAAATAAAAAATCTCTCAATTGTCACCAAAAACACAAAATAAACATTTTTAACGATAAATCCCTTTTCTTTTGGCGCGTTACTTAGCCTATTATATATTTATTTAAATGTACAGTATTATAATTTAAACAATTTAAGTTAACATGAAAGATGTATAATTAAAATTTTCTTAAAAATTTAAATTGGTCTCGTCATATAATTTTTCATTCAAGCAGCTCATCCCCTTAACATTACCTCAAACTAAAATCTACTTTTTGACAGAAACTAAAAATATATAGAAAATTTATTTCAACCAATTTGAAAATATTTATGGGTGAAATTTGAATATTTAAGAAAAATTTTTAAATAAAATTTAAATATTTATTAATATACATTTTAATTATCATTTACACGTATTTAAAAATTTTAATTCTTACTTAAATGATAATGAAAATTATAATTTAAAATAAATACCTGTAGTACAATTACCTTTAATAATTAAGAAAATTTCATACAATGATTTGCAGATGATCCAAGAGTATATATAATACTAAAAATTAAATTTCTCCAGTATCACAGATTCCTGTGATTTGAAAATAACCTAAAAATAATAAAAATATGTTAAAGTTTGATGAATGATTAATTTATTTTTTTTTACTACACTAAAAACCTAATAAAAGGAATTTTACATGATTGTGTATGCGAGTAAACAATTTCTTCTGAGTTTAACGTTTTTATACAATTATTTAACGCTGTGTCTATTTCGCCAGACGTCTGGCGGAATAATCAGCTGAAATTATTTCGCCAGATAGCTGTCTGGTGGAATAAGAAAAATTAATTATTTCGCCAGTAAAGATTAAATAGACATCAGGAGACTGGCGAAATAAGAAAAATACTTTATTTCGCCAGTAAATAAATATGAAGTGTCTGAAATCAAGAAAATAGACATTTTAAATAACCTGAACTTTTTAAAACTGTATTTTCCAACTAAATGAAGGGAGCGAGTTTTAAATGTAGCCTCTGGAAATTAGTTATAAAATATTTTTATTAATTTAATTAAATATTTTTAGTTTTAATTGACTTTTTTAAAATAAATGAATCATCTATTCTTTGACAGCTGTGTATTTGACAGCGATTTAAATATTATTCCTACTCAAATATTTTACTATGTTGTTTTTTAGAAATATTTTTCAGGGACGAGTTCAAAATTTGTTTTATAATAATTATTCAATTATTTTCTGTAGTTTTTTTAATTTTATATTATTGGTATACACACATATTTTTCCATTCATTTCTTGCACATATTTATTCATTCTTTGCAAGTTTAAATTATTCTTGTTTGCAATTCTTTTATGCATCTTATGAATTATTTACTTAATTATAAATTTAAAGATGAAATGTCTTATTAAGTTTTGGTTACTCATTAAGTTTTTATTGATAAATTGAAGTTTTTAGTATATTTATTTTAGAAGTTTTAATTACTTTGTAAGAATTTAAACTATAATTATATTAATATATTATATTTAATAATATACATATTTTATTATTATATTATATAATTTAAATTATTGTAAATTATGAATTCTATGAAAAATAATGTTATAATAATAATTTAATAAAATAATAATTATTATAGTACTATATTAATAATAATATAATTATATAATCAAATTTTATCAAAAATTAAAAAAATAATTTTAATTTATAATAATTATAATTAATAATTTATAATATAATATTATAATAATTATTAATTAATTATATTATTATAATATAATAATATTATGAATATTATTCTTCATTTTTAATTAAATAATATTAAATAATTAATTATAATTATTGCATAAAACAGTTATTATTTAAATATATTCAATCAATCATAATACTTATAAAAAATATAAATAATTATTATAAAACAAATTTTGAACTCGTCCCTGAAAAATATTTCTAAAAAACAACATAGTAAAATATTTGAGTAGGAATAATATTTAAATCGCTGTCAAATACACAGCTGTCAAAGAATAGATGATTCATTTATTTTAAAAAAGTCAATTAAAACTAAAAATATTTAATTAAATAAATAAAAATATTTTATAACTAATTTCCAGAGGCTACATTTAAAACTCGCTCCCTTCATTTAGTTGGAAAATACAGTTTTAAAAAGTTCAGGTTATTTAAAACGTCTATTTTCTTGATTTCAGACACTTAATATTTATTTACTGGCGAAATAAAGTATTTTTCTTATTTCGCCAGTCTCCTGACGAAATAGACACAGCGATTATTTAATTTAACATTAACAATAAAATATATCCAGAATAGTGAAATTAAAGAAACATGTGTCAAATTTTTCACATAAAACTATATTTTTTTACGTAAATAAAAAAATGATAATTACCTTGATTATTAGACACTTTAGAGACCGTGAAAAACAAAAAAGTTTTTTCTCTCATTTGTGTCTCTCGCGATTATAATACACGTTCACCTCACGTTTTTTAAATTGTAAAATAAACAATTATAAACAATGACGCAAAAAGTCTTTATGAATACTTTTAGTCGGTCATGGTGTAGTTATTTAAGTGATGCAGAAGTGTCGTATACCAAAAGAAAATTAATTCTTCAGTTGGTCACCAATGGCGCAACAATCTGCACTTTCAGACGTGATCGTACAATAAGGGTGCAGTCCCATGAAGGCGGTTCCACAACACCTTGTGTTTGTGCTTGCTTTGCATCTGCTCTGCATTTGATATTGTGAATTGTTTGTTGCGCGCGCAACTTTCTAATCGTTTTCCGTTCTGTTCCGCATTTTCATAAATAAAATATATTTATATTTAAATAATAAATTACTTTAAATTTTAAGTTTTAAATTTATTTATTTTATTTATATAAAGGAAAATGAAAAAAAATAGTTTGAATTATTTTATTAAAGTTTAAGTAAGTATATAAACTTTAAGTATGAAGATAATATATAAATATTATTCATATTATTACATTATTTGAAGGTTAGGTATATGTTTTATGATTTCAATCAAGTTCAAAAGATCCAGTTGTACAATTTTCAGAAACGATTATAATTGTTTACCTAACTAAAAATAATTATTTTTAGTTAAAACTTGTTATTAATTAATAATTAATTAACATTTGGTTTTTTTTCTTAAAAGTTAGTGAACAATTGTAATTTTTATCCAATTTTTATAAATAATAGCTCATTTTGTTCTCTAAAAGATTCTCTACATTTTTGGTTGTTGAATTTTGTTTAAAAAATTTTGTATCAAAGTTGATAAATAATTAAAATTTGAATTGAAGATTTGAATTTAAATAAAATTAAATATTTGCTTTGAATAGAATTAATGTAAAAATAAATAAAAGATAATAGAATTACAGCATTACTGTTATTTTTAAGTGAAATGGGAATGAATATTTTATTTATCACAATTCATCCATATTTCACTTAAAAAAAATAATAACGTTGTTTTTTATCATCTTTTATTTACTTTTATTAATAATTTACATTAAAAAGCAAATATTTAATTTTATTCAAATTCAAATCTTCCGCGGGAACGATCGGCGTGTTGGCGAAAAGAGGTGTGCAAGTACCTTTATTGTGGCGCATGCACAGTAGCGTTTGATAAGAGTAATTGACAATTCTGATCTAGTATCAATTCACTTCGTCTTTGGCCTTTGAAGTTCATGGTTGATTGCGTTCAAAACAAGTTTTTTTATTTAAAAATGGAATCGAATAATATCTCGGCAATCACAAAAGATTGCTTCTCTACTACTGAAGAATTGGAAAATCTTCAACCAGGAGATACCTCGTAGTAAGTATTTTGTATCAATTTAATTATATTTACTCCAAAAAAATTAATTTAATTTATATGCACGTACTGTTAGCACGTGTTAGCATGTTTTAATTTTTTTTCATTTTTCTAGTGAATTAACAGGAGTCATCATCAAAATCGAGACACCCTTAAGGCGTAAATCCGGACTGCAGGTATCATCGGAAAATGCACCAATGCGCTGCATTTTTTCTAATTTAGAGAGGAAAATTCGGGTACTCTTTTGGCCGCCTAAGAGAGACGAATTTAAGGAGCGTTTGCTTAACAAAGTAAGTTTATATTTACTTATTTTTAATGTAAATTGAAAGAATTGCGTTAGTTCTTATTAATTAATTTATTTTTTATATTTAAAAAAATTATTTATTTATTTTTTGAATTTTTTTTTAAGTAAAATTTAAATATTTGTGATGATTCTCGAGAAAACGTGCCTTGGTTTGCTTAGCTCCAAAAAATGTTAGGTTATGCTTAGTGTTATTTTTTTATCTCTTCATATAAAAAGTTTTTTTTTAATTCAGTAAACTAAAAATTAAGTTTTTTTAAATTTTCGTTAACACATAATAGATATTTAAACGTTTTCTCGTGAATCGTCACATATAATAACCTCAAAAGAGGTTTTATTCAACCGTTTTTTTAAAATTATGTTTCAGGTCGTTCAGATTATGAAGCCTCAAATCATCGAGAGCAATCCACAATACTTCAAAACGGAAGAAGGCTTGCTACTCGTTGAAATTTCCATACAAAAGTTCACTGAAGTGGAAATTCTAAACCCCTGGATACCAGAGGAGGATTCATGTTCACCAGTGGAATTAAAGAATTGTGCCGAGTTCATCGGTCGCCGAATATGTAAGTTATTTTCAGTTAATTAAGACAATATTAATATTTAACAGTGCAAATTTGTATGCTTTTTTAATTTTCAATTTATATATATTTTATTTTTATTTATTAATTATTTTTATTATTATATTTATTTTTTTTAATTGTTATTCATTTCATTTTAAATTTTTATAATTTAATTTTAAAAAATTAAATTCTAAATTTTTTATTTTAATGACAAATAATTATTAGTTTTCAATTACTTTATTGGTAATTTTCATTTCATTTATTTTTATTATTTTCATTATTATTTTGTAATATTTTATTTTTTCATTTTTATTTTAAAAAATGATTATATTATATCTTTATTCTCTAAATTTGTTTTTTTAATTTTAATTTTTTTTAATTGTTTTTCGTTTTATTTTTTAAATTTTTCATATTTTATAAATAATAAATACTAATTATTAGTTAGTTTTCAAATATCTTTATTTGTAATTTTCATTTTATTTATTTATTTTTACTTTTCATTATTATTTTGTAGTATTTTATTATTTCATTTAATATTTTAAAAAATTTTATATTATTTTTTATTTGCTAGTTTTGTTTTTTAATTTTTACTTTGTTCATTTTCTTATTATTATTTGATTTTTTTGTTGTAATCTCTAATTTTTTTTTAATTTAAAAATTTTTTTTAATTGTTTTACGTTTTATTTTTAAAATTTTTATAACTTAATTTTTAAAAATTAAATTCTAAATTTTTATATTTTATAAATAATATATAAATACTAATTATTAGTTAGTTTTCAAATATCTCTATTTGTAATTTTAATTTTATTTATTTTTATTTTTCATTATTATATTTTGTATTATTTTATTATTTCATTTATTATTTTAAAAAATTTTATATTATTTTTTATTCTCTAGTTTTGTTTTTTTAATTTTTACTTTGTTCATTTTCTTATTATGTTCATTTTCTGATTATTATTTGAGTCATTTGTTTTAATTATTTTTTCAATTTTTATATTATCTCATTTTCTAGTTTTCACTTTTAAATTTAAAAAATTTTAAGTATTATTTTTTTAAATAAATTAACAAATTTAATAAAATTTTAATCAATTAACAATTTTAATAAAAAATAGTTTCATAAAAATGTAATTAATTAGTTTGATTGTAATTTATATTGTTTTTTTTTAATAAAAAAATAATTAATATACTGCAAATTTTATTTACAAACTTGTAATTCTTTAAATATATTTTTTTGCGTGTTTTATAGCTGTTGTAGGATATTTGAAAACACCCTTTCAGTCTATCGTTCAAGGGAACAGCTCGTATGGCAGTGGAGCAATCACTGATTTAACGTTCAGACTGCCAATCAACATAACGTCGTTTGACGGCATTTCATCTCCGTGTAGAGGAGCCTGTGTTGAAATTAAAGGACAATTGAGGACTAACAATTATAAAACAATTATTCTTCAAGTAGATTCGATGAGCGATATAAGTAAGGCGAACGACGAAGTGATGACCGTAATTGAAATGAGGAAAGGGGTTTTCGTACTAATTCCAGAGGAAAATAAAGTGCCTGATGCTCGTAAAAAATCCCTTCCGGAAGAGAAAAAATCGTGTGAATCAAAGAAAATGAAGAAAAATTCATCCCAAGAAATAATGGAAGAAAATGAGGAAAATTTAAACATGGAAGATCTTTTAATATAAACTTTATATTGCATTAGTTTACATTTATTTTTATAATTTTTATTATATAACGTATTTTATATATATAAAGATATTTTCTATTTTTTCAAAATGAAATATATAATAATTAGCTTTTAAAATGTAAAATGAAAGAAAGTATTATTAATTATAATGAATAAAATTAAAAATTTCTTAAACCAATGCAATTGTTAAAACAAATAAAAGAATTTTATTTGGTTTTATTAAACATAATTTTTATGAATTTAATTTTTAATATGAAAATATATAATATTTCATGCATACATATTATATATATATTACAAAAATTATTTTTCATTAAAAATTATGTTTAAAAAATTGTTAAATTATTTTATTGTTATAGAAATTTTTAAATTTTAAAACTAAGTTAATATTAAAAATATATATTTATTTAAATAAAAAAAATAGAAAATAATCTTAAGAAAAAGAAATATTAATATTATATTTTTGTACAGATTCCAACGATTTATGTTGAAAGAAAATTTTATAAATAAAAAGTAAAATTTTTAGAAAGAGATAAATTTCTATTTTTTACAGTCCCCATGTGTTTTATTATTCTTATAATATTATTCTTTTATTTTTATTAAAAACAAATTTTTAAAACTAAAATTGAAAATAGAAAAACTGATAAATAATAATAACGATATTATTAAATTTAAATAAAAAAAACTAAAAAATATTTTTCTAACAAAATAATATGATTATTTTATTTTTATAACATTAAAATATATTAACTGTTTCATGTTTAATTTTATTTATATATCATGTTTTAATTTTGATTAAATAGGAATATTATTTGAAATTATTAACATCATTAAAAAATTGTAATTTTACTACTTAAATAAATAAATTTTTTTTATATATTCAATGTCTTTTTTCTTGTAGGAAAATATATTAAGGGGGGAACACCAGTTGTAACTTTCGAAAAATCGATTTTTTTTTGCATTTTCTTAAAGTATACATATTTAGAAATGTGTCTGTAAATTTTAAACTTGATCCGGTGAAAAATAAATGAGATATACAGAACACTGCAGCGGCGCGTCCCGTGGCTTCAGACAAGGTGGCCAGCCATACCTGACCCTAACGACAGATGGCCTTTTCCTATGATTTAGAAACGGCAACCACTGCGGAAGAGTTATTATATGGTCCAGGAATCGATGACTCTTTGTAAATTGGAAACAAAATTTCTTCTGAACAAAAAAAAGTAAGTTGAAACTTTGAATGCGTTTTTCTCAAAATGACATTTTCCAAGTCGGTGACCACGATTACTCGAATACCATGAAACCGATTTATTTAAAATTTAATGTGCTTCATTTACACATATAAGTCTAGTTCGTGATCGAAGGATTTTTTTTTTTATGCAAAACTTTTTTTTATATAGCTGAAAATCGACCGTATTTTTTTAACGAAAATTATACTTTTGACTTTGACAGGTCGCCATTTTGTCAAATTTTTTTTTTTTTTAAATCCTTCGATCACGAACTAGATAATCTTATAATAAATGTAAATCAATTTCATTTTTGTATTTCAGACGAAGTATACTTGCAGAATGCTGGTCACCGCAATTCGCCTTTTTTCTTAAGGCGCCACTTCAATGGCTCATATCTCTAAAAGTTTTTGTTAAAAAAATTTTTTTTTCTTTTAAATTACAGCTTTTAACATGTACTTTTAACTAATAAATAGTATTCTTTAAAAAGATTCATTGTTCTTTTGGAAAATATTCTTGTAAAAAGCATTATTTCTTGAGTTACAACTGGTGTTCCCCCCTTAAGTTGAATTACACATTTCAAAATAAACGCGCGCAATTTTTTGCAGCCAATCGAGTGATTTCAATTTAGTAGGTTATGTTTCTTTACGTCATTAGAATCACAGAAACTTCTTTCAGTCAGATTTTAATAATTCTCATTATTAGTGAAATAGTAATATTTATATTTACGTTTTTAATAAAGTGTAATTAAGTGTTAACAAAAAACGAAAGTCGCCTTTTTTATTTATGTATTTTACTCTCTCAATGTTTATCCTTATTTCAATTCCTTATTTCGATATCTTATTTCAATATCTTATTTCGATTTCTTATTTTGAGCGAATGCTTTCATGTTTTTCTTATGGGAAAGAAAAATCTTATTTCGATTGCTTATTTCGATTCCTTATTTCGAGCGCATGCCTCAATGTCTCTTTTAAGAAAGGATTCTGTAATTTTCAGATAGTGTATTTAAATCCAGAGAAACTCACCTAAATCATAATAATTAAAATGATACAGAAAACTATCAAATTACTTTTCTAACTCTTAGGAGTTTAAAAACTCTTATCTGTCATACGACTCTGAGGTATGCCTATCACCTATCACATCGCCTGTATATGCCTTCAATTTTTTGTCCTTTTGAATCACATGCTGTCATGGCAACACGTGCACTAGAAAAGGAGAAAAAAGTGTAGACATATCTGCCACGAGTGTGCATTTTCTTGAAAATTCAAATATTTTAAAATATTACAATTTTTTTTATTATCTTTTAAAAACAAATAAAGTCGGCAGACCTAGAAGCAAATTGTGAGAAGAATTAGGTTATCTTTTTAAAAAATCATAAATTGATAAATGTAGCGTTATGTGTTAAGTGCAATTCACTTCACATTTATTTTTTTGTATTGAAAAAATCTAAATATTGTAACTAAAACGGCAAAATTATTTGCAAGTTTTATAAAAAGAAAATATTAATAAAATAAATTTTTTGCTTAACTATAATTTTCAAGACGTTCTACAATTGTATTTTTAATAATTTTAATACCAATTTTGCACAACTTTTATCACCTATCTTTTTTCTCCAAAACTTAAACCATTCCACGAAATTTTAGTATGTTTTTGTAAATATTTTAGTTTTCCTGTCATTTTTAAACGTTTCAAACGATCTTTTATAACGGAAAGAAATTATAATCTACAAATCTCTAATAAAAATGGACAAAATATAAAGGTCTGAACAGAATAGAAACGTAACCGGAATTGCAATCGCAACCGGAAGAATGAGTAAGAGAAGGACAAACAATATATGACTTTCCTTTTTTAACTCATTCTTTCGGTTACGATTCTGGTTACGTTACTATTCTGCTCAAGCCTTTATATACTTGAGTTTTATACGGTTATTGATGTATATTACGTAGAAAATGTAATATACGTCGAAATCCTCCAGTTAAGCGTAACTACACTACTCTGAGTCTGAGCAAATAATAGCCCTCTTCAGTCATAAAATATATAACTAAGCCAATTTAATATTAAAGTCAAACACATTACACGTATATTGTTGCAGTCATTTAATTGTTAGTTTTTATTTTAATTATTGCAATTTATAATAGTGTTCATTATGAAGCAAATGCCAAATACCTTTAATATGTACACCCACGACTGGGACACATTGTTTAACTTGTGTTAAGGGCTTTAGATAGTTCCCACTATTCAGGATATACCTCAAATTTCCAGCCGTCTATCAGTCACATGCGTTTTAACATTCTTAACTACGATATCGCTTCTTCTTATTTTATTTTACCTCCAGTGGATTTTAAACAAATTGTTTTTTTGAGATGGAAATAAATGTCTGAAACAAGAAACCCAACTTTTCTAAGGGTAAGTATAATTTTTTTTATCATTGTATATTGATTAAAAAAATATGTTTTTGTAATTTTTTTAATTTATTTAAATAATAAATTAAATTATTTATTTATTTTACAATTAAATGGGCAATGCCCTTTATTACAATTTATTTATAATTAAATAAATAAATGTGTGACCTGGATAGTGCAAAGTATGCATATGTGCGGAAAAATCGATTTTTTATTGATTGGTGATTCTTATAGAGGAAACTTTTTTCCTTCAGAATCACCAATCAATGAAAAGTTTATTTTCATAACACAGTCATAAAAATGACAGATGAGTTTAGAAACAAACTTTGTTTGTGCTTGTTCCCGTATTTTCTTAACGCAAGAGTAATTGCAATTTCGTTCGGTAGAGGCGTGTTAATGTAGTAAAACTTTTTTGCAGTCTTACCGTCACCTGTGTCTGTAACACAACGTCGCCTAACCTAATCTCATTTTTTTGTAAATTCGACAAAAATTACTATTTACTTTTCAGCAATTTTAAAGGATGTCGACGAATCGATCGACAATAATTTTGATAACGTCGACATCATTTTAGCATATTCATACCCGCCTCAAGACGACGTTCACTACGAGCCCACCGAGGAAGCCACAATGCATGCTGTGGCTTCCACAGGGGACTCTAGACCGAGAAACCCTTTTAAAAGGAAGATGAGTGAACCCTCCGGACATACGGGGTTGGCGGCCCTCGACAAATGTTTTGCTGAAGAATTAGCAAAAAGGGGACCGCCTATCAAAAGACTAAAAATCAAAGATGATACCCCGGAAGAAAGGCGGGATAAAAAAAATATTTTAAAGCCGAAGAGTTGGAAGAAAATCAAACAAATTAAAGGACAAATAAAATTGGAGGGTTTTAATTTTAAAAAGAAGAAGAAGTGATTGATTTTATTTTTAAATAATTTTTAAGTAAGTAAAACACTTTTATAACAATTATAATTACTTTTTTATTTTTTATATGTATAGAATTGTGCATGTAACAATAATTTATCATTATTTTCCAGATACATTTATTTATTGACGCATGTTTTTAACGAGGTACAAGAAACCAATTGGACGGCACGCACGATATCCTGTGCATTTTATTTTATTATATTTTTTATATTAATTATTATAATTTTTAAGAATATATTTATTCAATTGGATTTTAAATAAACAAGATTTTTAAATTACCAACCACTTCCAAATAAATAAATATACATATGAAATTAAATGCAGAAATTTTCAATATTATGTAATTAAATAATAATAAAATTATATATTTTATAAATAATTTTAAGAATTTTTGCAATGTTTAAAATTCGTTTAAAAAAAATAAACCTTGGCTCCATATTTTAGAAATA